GGAACGGTGACCATGGCACCAAAGCGTCGGTATTTTGCTTTGTGCCTTGGGATTTTGCAGGCCGAATTGTACACTGTTACAAGAAAACCCTCAATTGGGCCATGCATTTCCTATGTCCCTGGCCGCCGGGCCACCACAACCCGTTCTTTGCAAGGTACTTCGAGGTGAAGAGTAGAGGAGGTAGCCGACACCAGGTGAAAACACTGCATGAGGGACCTCCTAACTCTGAAATTTCAAACCTCCCCCCCCCCACGCCCAGGCTAAGCCGGCATAGTTAGCGGACCTCTGCCCTGAAATATTTCCATGCCTGTGGCTGCCCCCTTTATATTAACCACAAGGGGGTGTTGATGTCTCGGTAACCTGCACTGCACTTGCAGCACGGGCAACTGCTTGTCTTGTCGCTGGAACGCTGCAAATGATGGATTGCTACGCCAGACTAGATTGCATGTAAACGGAAGATTTGGCTAGAGGATGAGGTGCGAGCAGTCAAAAACCACGATCCTGACTGGTGGGCGCAGTTCTTGACCTAAGTGTACAAGCAGATAAGCCATCCTGTGCCCCTTGCGTCCGAGGTCCGCAAACACTGAGGCAATGTCCGTCAAACTGTCGCTCAAAACACCAGGCTGCAGCAGTTGTATGCCTCCAATGCAGGTCTACTCAACCTAGACGTCACAAAGCAGCGGTTCTGAAACAGTGCAATTGTTGAAATGTTTGTTTGTTCTTCGCATACATCTTCGGCCAACTCAAGCTGCCTGCTATGCGCGGAGGGTGTGCGGTCTAGTGGAGGTGGTGACGCGTCCATGGCCAGCCGGGCATGATCGAGAAACACCAACCCATATCCAAACCACCCTTCGTACATTTCATCGATTACCCAGCGAAACCCAAACGTGTGCTCGATGACAACAAGCGCTACACACACAACAGTTCAGAGCATGTTTGGGTCAATGCGCTGGTGCGGAGGACTGCCCGTTTTGCAGGATGCCAGCTTGGCTTTTTGAGCCAAATAAGGACGCAAACCGCAAACAGCTGGGATTGCAAAAGCGCCATAAATCTACCACCGCTATGGGGCCTGGCGCGGTGAACATCTAAATTCTCCCAGCTTTCCTCGAGCAAGGAAGGAGCAACCATGGCATCAATGGTTTGCTGCATGCAGTGCATGCTTAAGCCCGGCACGCGCATCGTTGCCCAAAAAGCATCGATCCACAGTGTTCGCCTCAACAGCCAGGCGTCTCACACGAAGCAGGTTGGGGTTCAGCTTGGGAGCTCAGCTACTTGCAATCGTCAAAAAGATAATAAGCAGAGGCTGGGAAGAGGTAGTGATCATGGCAGTTCTGGGGCTTCTGCTTCTCTTGTGGAACATCATTGAGAAGCAAGGCGATGTTTACTGCAAGCTCCTGCCGCATTCACGAGAAGCGACTTGTAGTATCCCAAAAGCATTGTGGGCACAAGCTTCAAATGCAGAATGAGTGCAGTGCGAAACGCTCTTCTGGACTGACTTGGTGAACTTCGCTCTCGTGGCATGGGAGCCCAATTAACCCAAGCAATCCAGAACCAAGAAATCAATGCGAAGCTTTTCCCCCCAGCGAGCAAGCGCGGTTTGCAGGAAAATGCGTTGATCTTCGGCAGACAAACGCACCAATGGTTGCAATATTTATGCGCCGGTGGGAAACTCTGAGAAGCCAGGGTATGCGAAGTCGCTCTCAAACACATGTTTTGGCTACGTGGCCATGATCAGCACTGAAAGTCTGGGCTGATTTCCTCCCTTGTCCTTGCGCTGTGGTTGCAAATGACCCGCCATTGTTGCCACCATTCTACCCGGCTCCATTTCAAAGCTTGATGTCTGTTTTTGGGGTTCTGCCGCTACTGGCAGTGCAAGTGCGCTAGCTGGCCCTCCTACTGCAATGCCGCTACGGCGTCGCAAGCAACAATTGCTGTGAGCAGTAGCAGCAGCAGCAGCAGCAGATGATGCAGCAGATGCAGCAGCAGCAGCAGCAGCAGCAGCAGCAATCAGTCCAACAGCAGCCGCTGATGCAGCAGCTACAGCAATGCAACAAGAAAAGAATGAAGTCCCATCTCAAGATGCTGGTAATCCGAAACCTGCAGGGTCATGAAAATAGGCCCAGGTTACAAGAGCAACTCAAGCCCATCAGAGGTATGATGACAATTTGATGACGATTTGATGATGATGATCGTGATAAAAATGCTCATGAATGCTCACAAAATAACCTCCTGCCAGCCCTCGAGCTGCATGACTGACAAAGGCAGCCGAGGGAAAAAAAACCCTTACTCTTTCAAGCTTAGTCCGCCTTACTTGTCTTTGTTGGGTTTGCGGACTTTAACCGCAACCTTGACTTTACCTGGGGACACGTACCCAGCTCTCCTGCTGCACCGGCCTCTTGTCTGCCATCCATACTGCGAAATACAAGCCCTTCCAAACTTTCATGTACTCCAGCCTGCAAGAACGATGCAACAACACCATTCAACAATACAAAACACGAAGCACACAGCATAGCTGTTGCCTTTCCAACTGGGGATGCTTCTGCAGCCATCGCTTCAGCCTTTTGAAGCCACGATCACGTACCACCCTGAGGACCATCATGCTGCAGCACTGCAGGGCAGACCCAAAAACAGGGTGAGAAGCCGACTTGTCTGTGTGCGCTAAGAACTTTCCAAAGTTCACCGGCAGGCTCTCCTGCTGCGGGCTTCCGGCTCCTGCACACAGACGCAAGCAGACGGAAAGCCAGGACTGCACCTCTCTACTCATGCCTCTTTTTCTTTTCGCCATCTGACTGAAGGCGCCGACAGCTACATGGAGTCTAGCAACTTCTCCTGATCAACTCTCGTCTGCAATTACAGCGCCTGGATGCGCTTGGTACACGTCCAAATTTCTCTGCTGAAAGTAATTTTCAGATTTGCCATGAGAAATCTAGTGTCCTGATGCGTGCGTGAATTCAGACGGCATTCCTAAATTGAATGCACACTAAATGCACATGCCCATGCGAAGCCACACGCGTAAATGCGAACGCTCTTTCTTCGGCTCTGGGCTTTGGGATGTAGGCTTTAGGTTTGCGGTGGGAGTTGCCTCCCGCGCCCAGCGCAACTCCAATGCGTCAGGTACCCGTTTATTCTCGTTTATTGTTCTTCTTCAAGCTACATGGGTCCCAGACGCCCACCAGACCACAGCTTCGAGCCCCATGTCTTGGTTTTTCCCAAAAGCGTCGCGAAGGGTTTTTCAGCGGAGGCGGTCTTCGTTAAAAGATTGTCGTTGTCGCCGTTGCGTTATCGTTGATGCGTGGATTGATGTTGTGATACATGGGGCTATCGTTGATGCACGGATGGATGTCGTGATTGAAAGGATTGCGTGGCGCAGCAGGTTGGTGAATCGTTAGAAAGGATGGCACGAGGAATCGGATGGAAAAGATGGCATGAGGTAGCGGGTGGGTGAGTCTTTAGAAAGGATGGCATGAGGTATCGGATAGGTGAACAGGCTGGCGTGAGGTATTGGATGGATGGATGGATGGTCTAGCGGTCTCAGGGAAGGTCGTCCGGATGGCTTCCTTTACTATAGTTATGTTGATATACGACATGAAATCTTCTTTAAGCACGGGGTACGGTTGGCATGGGTTGGCGGGACGGACCGCACCTGCTCAAAATCACGTTGGCGCGTGGAGCGTCCTCAAAATTCTTGGCGTGAATGACGATCCTCTCGGTGTCCGTGGCCCGTCGTGACGTTTGCGTGTGGAGCGTCCTCAAAATTCTCGGCGCGAATGACGACGCTCTCGGTGTCCCCTCCCCGTCGTGACGCTGGCGCGTGGAGCGGCCTCGAAATTCTCGGCGCGGATGACGACCTTCTCGGTGTTCCCGGCTTTCGTGACACTGGCTCGTGGAGCCTCCTCGAAATTCTCGGCGGGCGCGTGGAGCGTCCTCGAGATTCACGGCGCGAAGGACGACCCTCTGAGTGGGCGAGGCTCGTCCATGCGCGTCCTGTCGCTGGCGCGTGGAGCGTCCTTAATTCTCGGCGCGAATGACGACCCTCTCGGTTTTTGCGGCCCATCTTGACGCTGGCACGTGGAGCGTCCTCAAAATTCTCAGTGCGAATGACGACGCTTTCGTTGTTTTCGGCGCGTGGCAGCACTGGCGCGTGGAGCGTCCCCCGAAATTCAGGGCGCGAATGACGACCGTCTCGGTGTTCTCGGCCCGTCTTGACGCTGGCGCGTAGAGCGTCCCGCGAATCCTGCTCAGAGTCGGCGACCCTCTTTGAGGGACCTGCAGGCAAGCTCGTCTTTGGCGACTTCAAGCTCAGACTTGTGTTCGGGACCTTATAAACCTGTAGGTTCGGTAGTGTACAGCAGGCTTAGTCGGTTAAGGGCTTAGGGTTTAGGGTTTATAGGGCCTTTGTGTGCAGTATTTAATTGGGCTATCCCAAAGGAGGTTCCTGATCTGATGAAGATCTGTCCTCCTCACACTGCTGTCCGCGTGTGGAGACGAGGTAAATTTAGTAAATGGAGTGCTGCCTGCTGGCCTTTCCCGCAAGCGCAGCGAAGGGTCCCTCGCCAGAGGTGGTCTTGGTTAAGGTTATCGTTCTCGTCGTGATGGATGCTGTGATGCATGGCGTTATCCTTCAGGGATGGATGGATGCCGTGATGTTTGTTTTACTAAAACTGCTTTGTTGTATCAGGTCTTACTCACGCGCCAAAATGCTTTCGGAACAACCGTTCTCTAGTCATTTCTTCTTGTTGTTATTCTTCTTACAGCCATGCACCTCTGCTGAAAGGAGTGCCGGGACAGCGCTTCGAGCCTGTTGTGAAACTCAGACTGCACTGCTTCTATATGAGTAGTCACGGCTGTTCCTGACACTACGCCTCATCAGCTAACATGGCCAAGACAGTCAACTTCTCCGCTTTTACATGCGGTTGTGAGACTGCTCTATGGCCTGCCGCATGCTCTCGGACAACTATACATTACACACTACTCCGCTACTATGCTCTTGAAGAGTCGCGACCCCCTGGGGAACGCACCGGGGTTGCTGGCCGTGGCTACTCTCTCTCATCCGTTTTCTCCTCCTTCCTGCTTTGCGCTGCGTGCCTGCCCCCGTTGCGGAAGACGTCCGGCCTTCACCCAGGGCCTCGCTTGTCCGTGGTCTTATTATGTCTTACTCACAAAAACCACAGCCATAGCTCTAATGCATCAACTTCAACCTAACTGTTTTGGGTCTAAAGCTAAACCAATCTACAGGGTGTCAGATAGATACACCAGGCTACAGCGAAGTCGGCTCGGGCATGACACCCCGCAGGCACAGCTGGTTGCACCGTGGCCATGCCTCTTCTTCTTCTTCTTCGGGCGTTAGGCGGGCCTACACCGCCCCGGGCCCCGGGCACTGCCCCGTGCACAGCATGTCCGTCCGCGATGGTCGGTACCCCAGAGGCCCGAAGAAGGTCCAATCCCAGACCCCCACATTTCAAGACAAGACAACCACCTTAGATTACCAACGCAGGAAAACGTGATGGGTCCAGGTTTGAAGGTTCCACCTTCTCCAGAGGGCTGTGCCCTCTCTCTCTTCTTCTTCTACGGGCTCTACCCCTACGGGTAGGTCAGGGCACAGCCCTGAGCCCCCAGAATGTCCGAAGCCCTCTCTCTCTCTTTTGGAAAGGAGCACTGCCGTGCTCAACCATTTTGCTCCCGCGGTTGGGATTGTGGCATCCTGCCTGCGCTGCCTCGCCGCAACCCCTAGAATTCAGCAAGGGAGCAGGCCTGGGAGTAAGTGAGTCCTACCTAAATAAGAACTCCGCTTGGCATTGCCAATAGGAGATGAAAATGAATTGCTGCAAGGAGTCATGCATGCGAGAGGAGCTTGTCGCCCCTCGGCCTACCTTAATTCGGAAAGTCCTGATACATGCGATTGGCCCAAGCACGCTGCAAGAGCCTCGACTCCACAACAACATGAAGCAACAAAATGCTGAAAAATGACATGCAAACCATGAGAGGGACTTGGAACCAAATGTTCCACAGGCACTTTCACAGACCTTAATTAGGAATTAGGCAATGACGCCCTCGCCATAACGTGCGCGGAGCAAACTGTGGGTTGCCATTCACAATTTACTTGAATGGTAAAAACGCTCTAACTTTTGCAGCGTCTATCACTAGTTTGCCCGCAGATCCGGGTTGCGAGGATGAAGCTTGCGTGGCTGCCACAAGCTTGGCTCACAATATCTATACAGATACATGCTCTAATGCCCGAATTAAACGTAGCTTCCTCATGAAGCAGTGCATGGAACAAAATGCTGTCTACGTGTCCACGTCTATCAAGGGACGGGACAATATGCAGCTCCAATGATCGCTCTACAATCTAATCATGATCTATGAGGCGTTGCAGCATGCGATGCCCACAGACTCTGGGCTCACGTGCAAGAGCTTCGTGCGCCTGCAGCAATGCTTCAAACTCAATGTCATACGGAAGTCATGCACGGTCCATAAGCCTTCGCCGTTGCACGCTTGCACACTCGCCGTCCTGCATAAAACAAGCCAGCCGCAGGATTTCGACAACTCAATCGTGACTCTCTGTCCGTGCTGCCCTAGCGGAAAATCGCTGGCCACACCTGGCTTTTCCGTTCTTGAGGCCAGCTGCATTGTAACATCAAACAAATTTTGCAAGCGCCGGACCATGATGCTGCCCGTGGTCGCCTGTCCACCTGGAGCCGACAAAACTAGTGACAGTAATGGTTGACCACACGATTTGCTGCCCGAAGCCTTCATGAGTTTTTTCTTCATGATTCTTTTGCATCTTTTGTTTACTGAATTCCGGTGCCGGTCTGCAAGTACAAAGTTTGAAAGCTCGTGGTTATGGTTAATCCGTCGGGATCACAGCCACGGCTAGGAAAACTATGTTCATTTTTGATAGAACAAATATTGAAAGCTGAGGCGTTTGCATCCGTATTTGTTTCCAGATTTTCCATATTTTTCCGTCTTTGCCATACTTCCCCCATGTTTTCCCATATTGCTGGAGGGGCCCCAAAAAAAGGAAAAAAGGAAAATTTGGGAAACATATGAAACCCTGGAAAAAACTCGAAACTATGGGAAAATGTGGAAGACATCAAATGAACAACGATACGAAAACAATTTGCCGAGGGCTGAAGTCAGCCTTCTGAAGGTCCGACACTGCAGGCCACGATTCTTCAGACAGCAATATTATTTAGCACATTGGGCCAACTAGGACGATTCAGTTTCATATTTTTGGGCCCCATATGTTTAAGATATTTGTCCTACAAAAAAAGATGTATTTGGGAACCCTGGCTGCCTGGCTGATGATTACGGGTTAAAGGTAGTTATGGGCAATCATCCGACTCCAAACTGCCTCCTCTCTTTACGTATCTTCGGGCAAAAGTAGCATCTGCGGAGCATTTGGTCTTGCTGTGTCGGCATCGCATAACCAGCAGTTGTGCTAGCAGTTGCAGCATCAGCAGCTTTGGTAGCGCCTGTGGCCGTCAGCATAGTGCTGGGCGTTGCTAGGCGTAAAGTGACTTTTCTGGCATGCAGCTGGAAGGGCATAGGAAACCTGTTTCCAGAAAGTGACCTCGAGAAATTGCCATCAAGGGCCTGTGCCGTTCTTTGTGGCAATCCTCGATCGGGATGGCACAATAGAAGCATGTCTAGTCCTGTTGCAAACCCCACACGTAGCATTGAACCCTACGTCCTGCAACTGACTGCTCCTGCCCTACCCCTCCAGCGGTACGATGCAATGAGAAATCACGTGACGATTCCCGACATCACCGCCCCGTGAAAGACTGCAAGAAGGAAGGGTTGCGTGCCCTACAAGACTCTCCTTCTTCTACCATGGAAAATGACTCCTCTCTTCCAGCATGTTCGCAGACCTTGGACGTGAATGTGTCGCCAGTGTACGTTTTGGCCTGCAATGGGACGAAGCTGGTCTGCGAGACTGACATGATATCACTTGCCATCTTAGCATACGTCAAGGTCTGCGCGCCTTAGGCGCACGTAGCTCCTTGACAAGGCCATTCCTGTCAGCATTCACATGCGCAAAAAAAAACTCAGACTTTTGATGCAATTGTATACTCTACCAGATGCACAATCATGCTCGCAAATAGAATCGACGGAAGTGCAAGAAGATCTGACTTTGTTTTCAAAATTTTGCTGCAGCTCCACTCTTTGGCGTTGCCGGTCGAATCCGCACCTGGCTTATGTGTGAAGAGCCACCGGACGCGCACGTCAAGCAACACCCTCACAGAAAGTGCTGCGGCAACCGGGCAACCGAGGCTCTTGCCCTCCCGCCATCCCCAGTTCCCCAGAGGATGAGATTGCTGCCTAAGCTGTCTACGAACAACTCCGGCACTTTTCTGCATCCAAACCCTCCGAGTCCGAGCACATTTTGCACTCTTCTCTTTCATGCAAATGCCCATGGGTGCGTGTAAAAGAGGTGATTTGAAAGGACTTTTGCAGGATCAGAGACCCTTACTCTATGGCTCTACGCGTTTGGCAGCTTTCACCCTTAAAGTATCGTTTACCAGCGAGAAAGATAGCGCATGATATCGCCTGTAGGATTTCTCTCCCTGTGGGCCTGGCAGTTTCAAGGCCTGTCCTAGAAGGCTGTAAAGACCAAACAAATTCTTCAGAGACACTGGACGCTGCCAGCATGTTTAGTCACAACAGAAGTCTGTTGACTTGCAAGATGACATGATGACATCCTGTCCCAACCTTGGAGACGTTCTAGGTAAACTTTGAGAGCCTTCCAGTGCGCTTACGGACTGATTAGAGGTATCATGATGCTTTGTCCGAGAAAATGATGGAATCCGGATCCCCTGTTGGCTTGAAATCACCGAGGCTTCCACGCTCTCCACTTCTGATTGGTCTGGCACCTCGGGGAATACGTTGATGCATTGAAAGGTGGCACATGGCAGACTATGATCCAACATAGAGAAGATTTGCCACAGCGAATCCAAGAATAACGTTTGGAATCACATTGCGCAGGATTTAACGCCCATGTGGCATAAAAGCATGGGCTGCGGTCTTGCAAGCAATCAAAAGGGAGATGGTTTCAAACAGAGGCTCTTCAATACCTGCGTTCAAAGCCAAGCTAGGAGGGATAAGCATTGGTTGCGAGTAGTCACTTCATGAACGTGCAGGTTCCAGAACAGAGGAGCAAGGTCAGCAAGGTTATACCTCTGTCCAAACTGGCCCATCAAAGCCAGCAACCCATCAACTAAAGTGAGGTTGTCATGGCAAAAAGGCAGTGAAAGAAGCCCAGAAAGACCAAGGATTTGATACTCAGCTTGTGTTCAAACTTGGTCGCAGAACTCTCCTGCACCATGAAAGCTCAAAACATTCAACGAGTATTGAATGAAACCTCCCAGAAATAAGGCGATGCAACAGACCAAATGCTGAAGGAATGCGTAGAATGCGTTTCAGCCACCAAGCTCCGAGCCGTGGAAATGACCACCCAAGTGTATCAGCGCCTGCATTCCGAAACATACAGGACAAGGCCCACACCTACGAGCAACGAAAGCACAAGCTGCTGCATCTCATGGCTATCAAGCAAGTCGCAAGGTCCAACCGCTGTGGGCTGATAGCAGATAGCAGATGATCACACGCATGCAAAACTGCATCAGGTGGTCTGTATGATGGATGGAAAAGGTCAGTACAGTACAGTAGATGGCTGGGGATGATGGTGATGATGATAGAGGAAAGGATGAGACGGTGTGACGGGGTGAACGGGATGAGATGATACAGAAAACCTACGGGATGGTGATGTGTGATGATGATGATGATGATGATGGTGATGATGATGATGGTACGCCTCATGTCCATCATCATCTCTGAGGATGACACGGATCATCGGGTGTCTTATTCATACATCGTGTTGGGGCGTCACCATTACCATCGTCACCATGATCATCATCATCATCATCATCATGGCCCACTTTCAATTTTTTTGAGCAGACACTCTTTAACATATTGATTGCCAACTTCTATTACTGCCATTTGTACGTGCCAGATCTTCCTGTCAAGCTGAAATTGTGGCTTTGGCTGATTGCTACAAGCATGACAGCAATGTTCACGATGATGCTGATGCTCTGATGGTGACGGAAGCGCGGGCGGGCGCTGTGGCCATGTCATGTCTGCGACTATGACCCCTAATGTTGATAAAGACATGTAGTAACTTTAGTATAACGATGATAACGGTGGTGGTGACGGTGGCGATGCATTTGATGGCGGTAGATCAATTCCGACCCCTGCCCACCTGCTAGCCTTCGCGACTTCTGACATGTAAGCAAACTGCCTGAAGTTGTTATGAAAAACTGAGACTATGGCAGATCCACGACTGTGAAAGACTGGGCGCTCCTGCAGATGTGCCAAGGGCAAAGTAACGTGCCACCAGCGTTTGGTCCTGGTGATCATCCTGCGATGGTGTGAAACGAACTCCTGCTCAGAAGCTGATGGCACAGCATATGGCGATCGACAACTCTATCCAGCAAAGCTCCTTTGAAGTAAAGCTCACCGCCAGTGAACTCTTTACCGAGACCTAGACAAGCAAACTCTGATTGCAGCCGTGCCCAGCGCACAACCGCCAGACTCAGTTTGAGGCATACATTCAAGGTTACGTTGGATGTGTCCGCGTGCTCAGCAAGCTCAACGTCCTCACCAATCCTTGAAAAGTTGAATGCCTTGCTCCATCTTCAGCATGCCGAAGTCCCCAAGCCTGTAACGGACCACGAAACCGTAAGTTTCATCACAATCTGTTGGGTCTACCCATTCGGGCCACCTGGGCTGCTTGCAAGCGCTTGGCGTGACTCATGCTTCACCAGCATCTGAGCGCCAGCAGCTCGCGCGCCAAGGGCTTCACTACAAGCCTGCAATCGATGGCGCAGCATTCGGCAAAAGCATCCAACGCAGCAGCAACGCAGCATGCCTCATCAATGGCTGCAGCAGTCCGTCTTGAAACCCTAGATTCGAAAGAATTGCACCATATCCTGCCAAGCAGACAGTCCAATCATCTCAAGTAACAGAGCTGGTCGCCTCATTTCATGCTCAACTCAAAATCAAGTTTGCCGTATCATGCGAGCAGTGACTTGAATTCCCGTCAAACTAATGGATGGAAAACATGCGAATGAAAGTTATCTTTAGCGTTCAGTGCTTTTCCGACTCATCCGCTTAGAATGCGAGGAAAACACAGTAGAAATTCAAGAGCTAGATAATAACATCATCTACAGATCCACATACCATTTAAATGCGTTGGCAGCTGGATTTTTCCTTTTCTGTGTTTTTGATTGTGCAGGCTCGAACATCATGGAACAATGGTCTGATTCTTGCATCGGATTTTAATTTGCAGGCCTCGGGCAAGGAATACCAGCATTGCAGAACACGACTGCAGCTCAAGCTGTTTTGAGTCTTATAGGTTTGGGGTTTAGTGCTCAGGAATCAAGGTTGAAGGTTCCGGTAGACAGACTGGCAAAATTGTGATCCCGTACTTTAACCTGGCAGGTTTTTGGGTTTAGGGTGTAGGTTGAAGGATAAGGACGGAAGCATCTTGAGCCCGGCCTTGAGCTGGCAAGTTGGCACTCTGAGAGGACCCCAAACTTTCCTGTTTGGACTCAGGCCCAAGCCAGGCGCCCGTGTACGCGGCTTTGGTACTGTTTGCTTGCAGGTCCCTGCCACGTGCCAACCATACAGCTGCCGCGCTGTTCTGTTCTTCTGCCGGCACACCGCGGGCCCACCTCAAGCTCACAGGCCGTACCACATGCCACCCATCCAGTTGTCGCGTTCTGCGGCCCCACCGCGGGCGCACAGGCAGCCGGACCCCAAACGCTTCCTGTTTGGGAATAAACAAGTAATGAGCAAACCTTTCCGTAAAGCGGTTTGGCGGTCATCCAGACACGCTTGTGTACGTAGGAGCCCGGAATTTGCAGATGCATCGTCATCGGGAGCTTATCTACATATGCTGCAATGCCACAAGAAGCAGAGAAAAGACGCATGGCTTACAAGTTCCAGCACTCAGATCCAGACGATTCATGCCGTTTGGCCGACGAAGAGGAATTCCACTGGCCTGTTCAAGTTAGCCAAGCGTTCATAGAAAGCAAGTTCATTCTTCATGTCCCGGGCTGCCTCAAGGTGATCCAGCTCAGACAGCAATTGATCGCACCAGCTTGGAACGAAAATATCAAACCTGGCTACAGGGCCAGTATGCTTGCACACGACTGCAGCCAATCCATAAGCGCCTGTACACAGCATAGCCCTCCGTATCTTTGCAAACCTGGCAACCAAAAAAAAGAAAACGGCAAAGTGAAATGCGGCAAGCACGGGCCGGCGTTCTAAGAAAGGCCTCAGTCAGCTGCGAGCGCAGCGCCGTGGAAGAACCTTCAGCCAAGGCCTCTGGACGCAAGCGAGAGATGCCAAAAAAAAAAATCAATACCGCACCTGCCGCAGAGCTGGACAAAGCCAATCAGCTGCATCCTGCAGGGAGCTGATCATGCCAGCATTCGCATCTTCTTAGCACCTGACTGTGTTGAGGGCCTTGCCAGGCCCACGTTTGTAGCACCTGGCGTGGAGCACAGACGGTATGCATCCTGGCTGCAGGAGGTAGAAACTCCTCACATGAAGAAAGCAACACATCAACGAGTTCGTCCTCGTGGAGAGGCCCTGGCAAGCTTGGCATTAAGTCATTTCACCTCTTCTTCCATCTCAGAGATACCAGACAACCTTACCCCGATTCCAGCCTAGCTCAATGCGAGCTCTGTCAAGCAGTGCTTCATGCTTCTCCCACCTGTCATGCTCATGTGCACTGCTAAGCACCCACCCTCTAAAGCCGCAACTGTCGCGAAAACAACACTGTGAGGCGAGCCATTCGTAGCCTTCAGCATCGCCCCCGCTGAGCTTCTTTGCCTGGTGCAGATCACACAGATTCTGCGCGCAATGCATGCCGCGGACAGGGATGCTTGCCTCAGGCATAGTTGCTCTGAGGGCACGTGCCTCGAACGATGCATGTATTGCACTATACAGTCAGCACGTGGGTGGTTGTCAGATCAAATTTCATGCTTGAGTGTCCTCGTCCGGCACCGTATGACATGGAACAGCAACAGGAGCCATGACTTTGATAATGCCCTCTGTGGGCTTGCTCTGCATCTGGGGCTTCGGCTGCTGCGAGGCAGCCACCCGCTCCAGTGTCCTCAGCCACACGTGATCCCGACAACCCTCCCAATTAGCCTCTAGGCTGGGGCCACTGCCTCACTCGGACAGGTGACATCCGCCATTGCTGCCGGGAGTGAGAATCTAGGATCATCTAGTACAGAACATTACGATCTATGATGAACTATGGATGGTTGGCATACCCTGAAGACCAGAAACATGGCCAGCCGGGTGCGGGGAGCAGTGTGCGAGCATACTCGTTTGGTAGCATGCAGAAACACCCCCCAGACTGGCCCGCAAGACAAGAACTTGCAAAAGCTCCCGCCTCAGGTCCTGGCTAAGGCCATGAACTGCTAAGATGCTGCGAACCTGCAAACTCAGACAAACAGCTGCGAGACAGACGCACTCAGAGGGTGAGGCCTTCCATGACGCCTGCGAGAGGACGCGCAGCCTGAAGAACAAAGCACCATGCCATGCTGGCCATGCTGCTCACATTCTTCTAACTGAAACTGAAACATGACTCAAGTGTGCGCCAACCGTTCACATAAAAGTCCGCACCTTGCATTCAGCAGCGATGCCCACTGCCTAGTAGCTACATCAAGTTCAGGCAAACAGAATGAATCAACCAGCAACATGCAGAAAGCTCTTGAGCTCAACATCTGGGACGACTGGGGACTTTGCAACTGCCGTGCATCGGATTTCGTATGAGCCTCCGCCAATACGCTTGAATACCCAGGCAGGGTGTAGTGTACCAAGAATGTACAAACTTGGTCAAAATGCCTGGGCTTCTGGACCGATCACCTTGCCATGCTACAAGAGGTCGCAAAAACTCTGCATCTCCAAGCCCCTGTGCACCTCAACTTGGCTTCCACAGTTTGAGCAAAGCCTCGGCACGAAACACAGGAAACTAGGATGCACAAGGCTTGCTTAGCAAGACCTTGAATGGAGCCGCAGAGCACAAGTCAGCAGGAAAAGAAGAGCTTCGGGCCCACCATGCGGATATGGGAGCTTCCAAACACGGCCACAAAGAAAGCAGCATGCAATCGGCTCCTGTGCGCAGCCGCATGGCCCGCAACTACGCACCCTCACACACCAATCAACAGCCTGCTTGGTTGCCGTATCACATTGGCGCGGCAATGCCTTGGAATTGACGCATGCTATGCTTTATACTGCTTTATAGCTCCAAGCTTAGGCAATTTGCTGGGATGCCTGCGGAGCTATCCAGGGGTTGCTTGGTGCTACGCAGGGTACCGTCTAGCTCCTGAATCACAGATGGCGGTCTGTTTGCAAAATACGCGGCTGATGTCCTCACATCTGTCTGCTACTCGCTTACCAAGCCTCATGATGCAATGTGAATTTGCAGCATGGAGCCGGCCCATGGCAGAATCGGCTAAACGCAGAAAGTTCGGCTCCTCTGGCTGCCTAGCGCCACACTTGCCTGTAAACAGAGAAGCATCGAAACAAAGGAGCAAGATCAATTCTGATAAAAGCTGCATCTAGAATGAAGAGAGGTCATGCTCTTCACACCCTGAGACTGAACATTATATGCTTCACGCCTGATGCAGTGCTGGGAAGGATTGCCACGGGAGCCACAGGAGCTCGCATCATCGAAACTGCAGGTCGAACCGTCATTCATAATCTTTCGATGACCAGATCGCAGGGACACTAGAAGCTTCATGCCTGAGTGATAGCTGGCACGCGAGAACTTAAGGCGGATATGATGCAGGTACCTGCCGACCGTCTTACACACGCATGCTGTTGCGCAGTCTGAAGCAGTACAATTATTGGCTTCAAAGGCGAATGGGGCACATGTTTTGCTGGTTTGCACAAGTGACGAGCCACAGCGATTGCAATTCCCGACTGCAGCGTACCTTGGATTGGACGTGCATGTTAGGTTCTGATGTCCTGACTCCCGAGTGCTGGACCAGCATGTCTTCACATGCCTCGCAGCACTGAATGGCTTGACTTCAACACAGTCTCGCGGAAACAAAAGAAGACTTGCACCTGCCTCCGGAAGGTGCAAACCCAAATCCTCCAGCACCGCCTGTCAAACGCAGCATGCAGCAACGCTGGGCAAATCCCACGTTCCCACGTCGCAAGATGTCGCAGTGCCAGGGCAAACAAAAGCCGGGAGCTCGCTGCGAGCAGCTGCAGGAGCTCGGGTGGCCGCAAGAGCAAGCAGCAGAGCAGCAGCTGCCAGCACAGAGTGCGGATACCTGCCACCGGATCTCAAGTTGGTCGGGCTTGCGGAAAGCCACTGGCCGCTGGTATCTGCCTGTAATGCAACACGGCGTCAGCCAAGGACAACTGCAACCTCAAAGGAGAGGCAGGTAATTCACGCGACATCCGAGAACCACCCAGATCATTGAGCCGAAGTAGGACATGCAAGCAGTGCGACGTTGAGGAGCCCACAAGAAGTCCGCCAAGCTTTGGGCCTTGTCAGGCCTTGGATGCGATTTCACAAGGGTTGACTTGAGCTTGCCGAGATTTGGGGCGGCAGGTAACATGCCACTTAGCTGATGGCACGAGAAAGGTACTGAGCCTGGCAGCAAGGGCCTGGAGACCAAGATTTCAGGAGGCTTTTGAGCAGCTGGCACCCTTCACATATCAACGCACCTCCAGGAAGTCCCGCGAAGTCGGTGTGCCCACGTCAAACCTTTCCAATCCACTCGGCTTGCAGCTATCTACAGCATGTTTGCATGCCCGCTGCCATGCGCCTTAGCTTCTTGAGGATGATAAGCTCAGCTGCAATGACGTCATCAAACGGAACCTACATAAGGGAAGAAGCCAAG